TTTGGATTCAGTCAAAAGGCTGCACTCAAAATCCAGATGGCCACATGTGACCCCAGGGCTGCAGATTCTCTACCTGTTCTGACAGGAAACATCCCGGGAAGCCAAGCCATTTGAGATGGTAACTCAATGAGGACCTCAGTTGCTTTCATTCTCTTAGTCCTTAAGTGTTTTTGGAAGAGGGAGATGGGTTTAATTCTGTAATTTGTATTTTTTGATTCCCACATTTTATCAATATTTTCAATTGTGTTATCATAGATATTTGAAAGGGATATTATTTTCAGTGAAAAATATATCCTATGATATTATTCTCTTTTGTCTTCCTAAGGTAGTTACTTACAGGTAATGTTTAGCAATTCTTTAAGCCAATGGCTCTAATACTTATCCACCAATTCTTAGTTAGGGTATTTTTCTAGGAATAAGAACTGCCAAGAAAACAATTTTAAACTTGGTAAATATTTAAGGATGTTTCCTATATTCGTAACTATCCTCATTTCATTGTATGTTTTATGTTTGGAGACCGCTGTTTTCCATTTTTGCTCTTTCTGATTCACTGAGGTTTTGATCAGAACTGAAGGCAGTGACTTGTCAGCCAGGTCTCTTGTTTGCAAGGAGCACTCTCTTCCCCCAAGTCAAAGAATTTCTACTCAAGCCAAGAAAAAGACTTTATATCCATGGGCAGTTCTCTTCTAACAAAACCTACCTTAGGGTGGAAAATGTAGTGCTCTGAAGCAGGTCAAAAAGCTTATGGCTTGATTCAGAAGACAAAACTACATCATTTCTCCTGGCCCCTAATGTAAAGAGACCAAAATAAGGAATGTTCATATTCTCTGTCTACACGGTAATAATAACAATATTATAACACAGCACTTATCTATTCTTCCCCCACATCCATCCCTGCCTCCGCTAATTCTCTGCTTACCAATTGTTTGTACCCTTAAAATTCAGGTCCAGCCTTTGTGAAAATAAATTGGAGCTTCAAAACCTAGCTGCATGAAAACTTGTGATGGCTAAAGCATGTACAATACACGATTTCCCTCCTATGACTTGCTGAATAGAGTTTATTATTTTTTACTTCTAACAAGGGTACTCTGCCCATGGATCATTGTAGGTCAGTGTACCTTGAAGGAGCGAGAATATGTTACAGCACAAGGACCTGCAAAGGCCAAATGCACATTCCAAGATGTGGCTCTCCTTCTTTTGAATCCACTTTTCTTAAGACATGTCACAGACGTTGGTTATCTGCATTCTTACCTTATCCTTTCTATGAGAGTATAAGTCCTTGGATGGCAAGGACTGTCTCTTACTCATCTCCTGTATTCTCTACACACACCTTGAGATGTAATAGGCCCTTGAGAAATGCCTACTGAATTGAAAAAATACCTTTATCCTTTCCCTAGCTAGGTATTACAGCCCAACTCTAAAAGTATTTTCAGTGGTGAACCATTTATCTAAAGCAGTGGTTCTTAAACTTGAATGTGCATCAGAATCACCTGGAAAGTATGTTGAAACAGATTTCTGGGCCTCTCTCTTAGTTTCGGATTCATCAGGTCTGGGGTAGAGCCTGAGAATTTGTATCTTTAGCAAGTTCCCAGGTGATACTAATGTTGCTATTCCAGGGACCGTAATCGGAAAACAAGTGATCTAAGGTAAAAGTCTTGCAGACCAATTATCCCATCTGTTCCTCTCAAGACATCAATAATACCCATTATCAGTAAAGAAACATTCTTTAGGCCGGGCGCGGTGGCTCACACCTGTAATCCTAGCACTCTGGGAGGCCGAGGCAGGTGGATCCCTCAAGGTCAGGAGTTCGAGACCAGCCTGAGCAAGAGTGAGACCCCGTCTCTACTAAAAATAGAAAGAAATTAATTGGACAACTAAAAATATATAGAAAAAATTAGCCAGGCATGGTGGCACATGCCTGTAGTCCCAGCTACTCGGGAGGCTGAGGCAGTAGGATTGCTTGAGCCCAGGAGTTTGAGGTTGCTGTGAGCTAGGCTGACGCCACAGCACTCTAGCCTGGGCAATAGAGTGAGACTCTGTCTGGGAAAAAAAGAAACATTCTTTATGAGAGAGACCCAGAAGATGTTGTAAAAAAAAAAAAAAAAGAAGAAGAAGATTAAGTCAAAAATCATAAAAGGAGAGAAGTAATATGTCCACCATAATTTTACAATACTATGTCAAGAGAACATCCCTTAGCCTCACTGAATCTGAATCTCTGGGGGTGGGGCCTAGGAATATACACTAATCACCAAGGGGGATCCTGATGCTGGTTGGCTCAGGGACCACACTTTGAGAAGTTCTTCAGGATATAGTCACAAATAATCATCACACACCTGGGTAAAGCCCTATACATCGTCCTAAGTTACCTTCTTGATGTATTGAGCAACAACTTCTGCATGACCTAAAAACCAACTCTTTTCCTCTCTGGGCCTCGGTTTCTTCACTTACCAAATGCAGCTCCACTATGTAGCATGCTCTAGTTCTACCCTAGGCCCTACTGTTCATTAAGTCTGCTGTTCTCAACTCCTGGGCCACAGCCCGGTACCAGCCCATGCATGGCCTTAGGCCATGCATCATCACCTGAACTCTGCACAACACGCCCCCCAACCCACGGAAGCCCACCCCCACCCCCACCTAGTCCATGGAAAAATTGTCTTCCATGAAACTAGTCCCTGGTGCCAAAAAGGTTGGGGATCGCTGCATTGTTATCTCTTTTTTCTTTCTCCAGAAATGTAACTGCTACAAGGCCTTAGTGTTGTCAGTTTTGCAATTAATAAATGGATTCAGGGTGCTAAATCTCAATCTCTGCTTATAGTGAGTTTATGGGGGAAAAAAAATCTTCCCTTGATTGAAAAGGCAAGTGAACACAGTAGCTAGAAGAGTAATTCCACATTATTCATTGACGAAATGCATGGCAAAACTACTCCAGATGAGCAATTGTTTTTCTCATTCCATTTCTGCAAGAGTAGTCACTTAAGCAACTACCTGTCTTTCAGCTCTTACTATGTACTTCTCATCTGTTGCCACTCAGTTTAACATTTACATTGCCCAGGGTGAAATCAATATTTTAATGAAAAGGATGACTACCAGATATAACTGAACACTGTGAGTTACTGTACAAACCCAGCTTACCTGACAATATTCATGCCTTCCTTTAGGCCCTTTGAAATGGGCCTTATCTTGAGCTGTGTTAGTGTGCAAATGCAGAGGTTGCTGAATCTATCATGAAAGTACAGAAAATTTACCAAGTTTGCAGGTGACAACACTGAAAGGATAGCAAATGTGTTGGGTGGCAGAATCAGGACCCAAAGAGATCTAGAAACAAGCAAACTTGAGCACATCAGAAGAGCAACCAGCATGGTTACCCATTTGTATAACTTGGGTCCAAAGGATCTAAGAAGTGTCAGCTGGAAAAGACTTGGGGGTATGGAAGCTGGCACATAACAGCTGATTTCAAATACTGGAGGACGGATTAACTACCCTGTGCAGGTCTCCAGCACAGTCCTAGGACTATTGGATGAAGCTACAGGGAGGCAAGTTTGGGCACAATGTAAGTAGCATGTCACTGCAAAGGGTTGAGTGACTCTGTTGGACAATTGTTTCAGGCCGGAAGTGAGGTATTGGTGACCAAACATGATTACTTCCAAGGTTCAAATCCTCTGGCTACACTAAGCCCTGTGATTGTGTCACCTCATTGGCATTTGATCAAAGTTGAGCCACTTACTGTTTTGCTTGTGGAACTTTAAGCTATAGCAGAGAAAAAAACTTCCTTTTCCTGTAACCCCAGTGATTACTTAAGGATGTAAGCCCTTAGGAAGGGGGAAGTAAGATAATACTTCGAGATTGCAAATAGGTACTAACAGCATAATCATGTTTTTGTAGAAAAAGATCAGTCTGGACTAATAGATCAATAGTCTGGATGGTTATACAGTACACCCAAATGCTAACAGTTCTAATTGGTGGGATAATAGGTAATTGGCTTGCATAAATTTAAAGTGATAAAAGTATTGTTTAAGGGCAGGGATTGGGACATACACATTTACATGTATTCCTATTGTCTTAGTTAGCTTGGGCTACCATAACAAAATATCATAGACTGGGTGGCTTAAACAACAGAAATTTATTTTCTCACAATTCTGAATGCTAGAAGTCCCAGATCAAGGTCCAGCCGGGTCACGTTCTGGTGAAGAGTCTCTTCCTGGCTTGCAGATGGCTGCCTTCTTGCTGTCCTTACGTGGCAGATCCCTCCCCCCTATTCCTCTTATAAAGCCACATTCCAATCAGATTAGAGCCTGACCCTTATGACCTCATTTAACCTTAATTACCTCCTAAAGACCCTATCTTCAGATACAACCACCCTGGGGGTTAGGGCTTCACCATATGCATGGGGGGCACAATCTACTCCATAGCATTTATGCTCACCATGAACACCAAAAATGCTTGGTTCATTAAGACAGCAAATTCTGTTCGGTACAAGAACCAAACCAGAGGTTCCATGCTACTGGTAATTAACAGGTATTTGATATCTGAGTTTATGTTCAATAGAAAATGTGATGTGCTTAGTCCAGTGTGTGTTAACAAATGCCTCCTACCTGCTTCCCAATCCAACCCCAACCTTAGGTGTCCCCTCCCATTAAATTGAAAAATACTTTTCAGAAGGCAAGAGAGCCCAGCTTGAATTCCAGCCCTTATTCACATTGAGTAAATCACCTCAGACTCTGCGTTTTCATTTCTTCATCTCTGTGTTAAAGGGGTTAGTCCAAATGACCACCTCTCCCAAGGTTCTCTAACTCTATGATTCCAACTCTAGGGGAAAAGTACCTAGCATCCCCAAGTCAGGACCTACTGGATCTGAACAGAAGTAAGCATTTCCCACGTGAACAATCTGCTAAAACAGTTTTCCTTCAACTATTTTGTTTGGCTGAAAAGTGTACCCTTGTGTACTTTTCATTCCTTAGAAGACCACCAAGAATGAACCATAGGAGTCTCAATGCACCTCATATTCATATTTTATTGCTACATTAGAAATGAAAATAAACTGTGAGAAGCTACAAAAACATGAAACTTCATGAAGATTATGAAGCAATGGAGGCACCCATTGTAGAAGGTTAAAATTGGCTCATCCTGTAGGTGGGACAAGGACTACACACACAAAGGCCATCAATGGTGAGACTGACAGCATCTGCCACCTGGAATTTATACACCAATGGGAAGTTTTAAAATGAACTTAAGGGAAAATTGGTTACTCCTGACTTATTAGCCAAGGAGTATAGGTGAGAAGACATCACAAGTTGCCTAAAATCTCTACAAACACATAGTTTACAAAAAACAAGGCTAAAACCAAGACTCTCAGGCAATGTTGAAATTCGCTCTAGGGAGAAGATCCCCATTTTATGACGTTTGAACAGACTCTTTCTCCTGCTGGATAGCTGGGGAAAACAAACACAAAAAATCATTAAGAGGGTATTTTCCTAAGATTAACTTCAGTTTCTTCCAAAAGAACTCTTTGCTAAATCATTGAAGTCTGTCATACATGTTTTAAATTTAGAATGCCAGGGCACTAACCACAAATTCTCACAGTGGGGTATGTACATGTGTGAGTATGTGCAACCACCTGAACATTCATTAGGATCTACATCAACTGTGGTGTTTTTTTCTTTTTTCATTTGAGAGGTAGATGTACACTATTGCCATTTTTTTCACAGATTATTAGAGGACTTAGAAAAAAGTGAAGCATTTTCTCCAGATTTCTCTAGCCTTATACAACTAGGAAGTTATAACTTTTCAGACAATTTTGACTAACTTTGGAACTCTCAAAGCTGACATGACAAAAAGTGCCCCTCATCTTTTGCAAATACACTTAGAGTTTCTCCAGCAGACTGTAATTCTGGAGGGCAAAACTGATCCCTTGAGTTTGGGAGCCTGAGTATACCCTAGATCTAAACTTGTTCTTTCACCTTATCTTGTAGTCAGGTAGCAAAGGCCAAAAGCGCAAAATTTTCATGGTTCTTTAGGGATGAGACCAATGCCCCAAATTGTTGGGTGCAGAAAAATGTCTAATAAACATAAAGTGGACAAAACTAAGATTTTTCTGGTGCTACATCCAACATTCCAAGATTGGTTCCAAGGTGGTTTTTAGTAATTTTCCAACAAGAACCTAGTTTATTCCCCCATTGTTACTAAGACCTATTGTGTGAGTACCACTTATATATCTCAAGTAAGAAAATGACTATTTGATATTTCTAACTGTTGCATTAAATGCAATGGTTCTTTAATTATTGTTTACATTGTGGTAAAATTTACAAGAGTTTATTTACTGAATCTATCAATTTTCCCCATTGTTTGTCTCCACCAGAAACCTCCCCCACCCAGTGACTTACTTTCCTTAGAGGGGAGAGTATTTTTTTCTTCGGTATTAGTTTTCTTCAGTTTTGATCTGTCAAACTTCTCCACTTCCGACAAGTCTGGCTTATCACTCATCTTGACTAAGAGAAGGACTGAAAAAGAAAATTTAACTGGCAGAACTATTATCATAGGAAGGGGTCATAGCTAAAAATTCTCACATTTAATAGCAATATTTATTTTACCTGCTAATTTTCAACCGGAAAACAGCAACAAATCTTAGAGAAGTTATGTTTTTTTTAGAATACATTAATACCATATCGTTACACCATTTCTGATAGGCAGTACTGTAAATGCCATTAGATCCGAATGCACCAGAAACCAAGATGCTCTAGAAACCCGGAGCCAATATGTCCGACTCTTTAAAAAAAAAATCACAGCAAAGGTAAAATGGAGGTGAGAGAAGCACAAGAGCAGCTAAGGATAGAAAAGAAAACAAAATTTTGGATTTGACCAGTTAATGATTTAATGATTCTGTAAGAAAAGATAGCACTATTCGAGCATCTTCACTTTCTACTCACTTCTTTTTTTGGCATTTTTCTTGAGGGATGGGGAGTAGCACACAAAAAAGGGTAGCATAAGTTGTACTAATTTCTTTCCATTTTAAATGCTCAAAGACAGTACACTAAGACACTACAATGAGAGAGGAAGGGGATTTGGTCGGTCATAACTAATTACACATCTCATAATAGCTCCTTGTGGCACTGCTTTGTAAATGCTGTAAGAAAGGACAGCTAATTGGGATCAGACCCAGGACTTCAGTAGCATGAGACAAATCGAGTTGTGTCCTATTTCACCATGTTTTCTCTGCAAAGGGAGAGGCAAGGAGATGAGGCTCAGGTGCATGGACATGGACATGATGAATTGCCTGGTGCCCTGTGAACATCCCGGGTTTGTCCAGAAGAGACAATAGGAGACCCCAAAAGCAGGAAAGCAGAGCTCTCACGCGCGTTCCTAGCCCTACCCTGGTGGAGTAAGGCACGTCCGGTGCCCGGAGTACAATGGAGAGGCCCCCAAGCAGCCAGAGGTCCCGAACGCGCCTCGGTTCAGTCTAGGTTACCCTAAGACCCTCCTTTGACAAGAGATCAGACGTACAATCTCAAAGCTGGGAAACTGGAACTAACAAATGATATCAGGGCCAGGCGCACAGACCAGTTCGTCACGAGCAGTTTGCGTACTTTTTAAAATAACTATTACTGTTGTCGGGGCCCAGCCTAACGGCCACGTGAGGGGAGGGGAGGGAGCGAGGGGCCAGCCCCACAGGGCCCATTCCGGGCGGCCCCCACAAACTCCTCCTTGTCCTCTCAGCCTCCAACCGGCACCTACCGCGGACTGGCCGTTTTGGGTGTCCGGCCCCTCGGGCCTTCCTTTTGGGGACCGACCCCGGGAGGGCTCGGCGTGGCGCGCAGAAGGCGGCGCCCCGGGAAGACAAAGGCGCGGACACGCCAGGCGGCGCAGAAGCGAGACGTCAGCCCCAACCCCGGCCCCTCCGGCTCCCGAAGGCGCGACATTCTCCACTCTGCAGCCCCCCTGCGTCCTCCCGCCCCCGTCGCCTCTGACTCCCGCGGGCCGCACGGCCTCACCTGAAGGCTTGAAGACTCGCGAAACGTCGTGGGCCGAGCTGAATCCGCCGCTCGCTCCGGACCAGGTTAGCGTTCCCGCGCAGAGCCCTGCGGTTATAAGCCCCGCAGCAGGCCCCGCCCCAGACCCCGCCCGGCCTCTCTGATTGGCCAAGGGAGCCCGGGCTCGCCTCCCGACCCTCCCTCCACTTCAGCCTTACAGGCCTGCGTCCACTCTCTCCCCTCTTCGTAGGACCTCACCCCTGCAACAGGGGCTGGAAGACGTCAGAGCACACCCCACTTCCCCAGACCCACATCCCCAACCTCTCCCACCGCTTTAGTCCTGGGAATCCGCATTCCCTTCATCCCAAGTACATTCGCTTCTTCACAGTAACAGGGGCCTCCGCAATAAACAGGTTTTTCCCAGTTGGCTTTGAACGTCTGGAACTCTGCGGTCCAAGCCGAATGAGCCGTATTCAGCCTCCTTCGGCTTTGTATAGCCATTGGGGCCTAAGCACGCTGTGATGACCGAACAGTGGCTTGGAAGCGGGGTTCGGTGTTGTCTGTTCTAATCCTTGGCCAGGTCATGGTGAAGGTGAATGGCTCAGAGTTATTCACCCCCACAGCTGGACAGTTCTGTGACAGTAGGCAGTGCTCTCCTATATAAAAGTCACATTTTTTTACTCTCTCGGTCACTGAACACTTTAGCAGTGAGTTTAGAATGATCACAGGAGAATATACTGAGATTATTCATCTTTATATCTCCAATCCCTAGCACTTTTGCTTGGTCCACTTGGTCCACAGGAGACACTGAATAAATACATGTCTGTAAATTGTATTAATAGTAATAGACAAGATAGAGCACAATTTTTGGACAGCAGCGCCACCTAGTGTCTATTGTGGGAGAAAAGTGAAAATCCGATAGTTACTTGGAAGAACTAAATGTTCAGCCTCATTTTCTGGATATTCACCCAGAACCTTAGCATTAAGGTAAAATGGAAGTAGAACTCTGTCTTTAGATTGCACCCCATATTTTCCGTATGGCTCATGTCTTTTGGTATAGATCTACATAGATCAGAAATTACCCTGTTCACAATGATTTCTCAAGCCTTCCCCAGCTCATCCATTCCCTTTTCTATGCTCTTGTAGCATTTTGTGTTAATTTGAGAGTTTTGTATGTCTGTTGGGGAAACTTTTCAAACAGAAGGGCACACTCACGCAACAAACAATATTCATTGAGTACCTACAAGGTCCCAGCATTAAATATAATAAATGCCAGTGTTTCCACCACTCAGATTTCAGCGTTGTTCACATTTAGAAATATTTACTTTGTCTGTTTTTTTAAGGAATGAAAACATTACAGAAAAATTGAGATTTCCTTGACCCTCGCCCCATTTTCATTCCACTTCCCACTTCCCCACAGGTAGTACTATCCTGAATGTGATATAGCCTTCTAGCTCATTTGCCCATCTGTAACGATCTATGAGATTTCTGTTTCCAGGAGAAAAATGAAGCATTGTTTGAACCAGTGCTCCAGGTCTAAGACCACGTTCCCCCCCATCACTTGGGGCTGACAAGAAGCCCCAAACACCCACGCATCCCCAGCCCAAATTTCAAAATCATGCCACCCCTACCTGCCTTGAATTTATTGGAACTCATCTAATGATGACATTTTTCTCCATTTGTGCCAGTACCCACTGCAAGATCCCCAAGACACCTCTCAACTCCCACATTCTAACCTCCATAAAGTTTTGTCCACATCCCCTCTTTAGTTCTCTTCTCTCACCCCTCCCCCACTACTATAACACAATGAACCCTTAGTAATTCCTCTATATCCCCAACCTCATCTCTGAATGGCCCCTTCAATTGTCTTGTTCCAGCAGAAAACACGTTCTTCCCTGAGGACTCTGTGTCTCCTGCAGCCCACTCACAAGGAGCAGATGATTTTTCTTTCCCACCACCATCGTACCACAGAGCCTAAAAGTCAGATGAGTGACTTCTTTCCTTCTCATTGCTGCCTTCATACCATTCCCCTCCCACCTCCCTAAAAATCCCAGCTTTTGACAGCTTGTCTCATCAACTAGCCTTCATCATTGTTGTCATGTATCAAACTTCAACTAGTCCCCTCTAATTTCTCAAAGATTTTAGCTCCTAGAACACAGTCATTCTTAACAGTAGTTTTCCTGTCTTAATTCTTGATGAGTTCAAGAATGATCATTCTCCCATTCTGTAGGTTGTCTGTTTACTCTAATGATTGTTTCCTTGGCTGTGCAGAAGCTTTTTAATCTGATCAGGTCCCATTTATTTATTTTTGTCATTGCTGTGATTGCTTTTGGCGGTCTTCTTCATAAATTCTTTTCCTAGGCTGATGTCTGTAAGAGTTTTCCAATATTTTCTTCTAGAATTCTTATGGTTTCATGCCTTAGTTTAAGTCTGTTATCCATCATGAGTTGATTTTGGTGAGAGGTGAGAGGGGCAGATCCTGCCTCAGTCTTCTACATGTGGCTATGCAATTTTCCCAGCACCGTTTATTGAATAGGGATTCTTTTCCCCAGTGTATGTTTTTGTCTGCTTTGTCAAAGATCAGATGACAATATGAGGGTATCTGCACTCAAATGTTTATAACAGCACAATTCACAATTGCAAAGATGTAGAAACAACCCAAGTGCCCATCAATACATGAGTAGATTAATAAAATGTGGTATATGTATACCATGGAGTACTACTCAGCCATAAAAATGGTGAATTAATACCTCTTGTATTATCCTGGATGGAGCTGGAGCCCATTCTTCGAAATGAATGGATAAAGAATGGATATCACAATAATGGATAAACAAACACCACATGTACTTACCATTAAATTGGTATTAATTGATCAACACTTATGTACACATATGGAAGTAATATTCATCAGGTGTCAGGGAGGCAGGAGGAGGGGATGGGTAAATTCACACCTAATGGGTGCAGCGTGCACTGCCTAGGGGATGGGCTCCGTTGTAGCTCTGACTTGGGCTGTGCAAAGGAAACATATGTAACCAAAGTGTTTGTACCCCTGTATTATTCTGAAATTAAAGAAAAAAAGAATGATCATTCTGACAAACTGGCCCCTTCGGTTCCTTAAACATTTCTCCTCCATGACATTGTCCTCAACTCCACCTCAGCTGCTCACTCACATGGCCATACCCTAGACCTTCTCATTGCAGTTATAGAAACCCCTCCATAACCTCAATTTCAAACATCCTTCTTTCTGATCATCACCTCCTCTCTTTTCAGTTCATACCCTTTGGACCCCACTTTCTTTCAACTTTACCAGAATCTCTAATCCACTGATCTCATCAGATTTTCACTATCTCTTATTCCCTTATTCTCTTCTCTCTTTTCCTTTCCTAGCTTAAAAGACGTGTTCAGTGTCTATAATCATTCCTTTATATATACCCTCCATTATCCTGCCTTTTTACTTTGTATTGCTTCCTTAGCAAAATCAGAACCCTGGATAAATCCAGCTACAACTCAACAAGCCTGAGCCCACACAGATGAATCTGACTGGAGGAAAAGACATAAATACATGACTAATTTCAGTTTAAATTCATGACCATGAACTTCAATTGGACCCTTAAGGTTACAAGATGATCACTCTTTAGGTCTCCCGTCCCTTAACTTTCTGACTATTCTTAGTTACTATTTCATACCTTCTCTCTCTTCAAACTCCCTACACCACCTCCCCATCCCAACTCTTCTCTTGATTCCTATTTTTACTAGAAAATTGTAGCCACTGGAAGAAAACTTCCACAGACTCCTACCACCACATCACTTCACCTACCTATACCTGCCTATGTATACATGGCTCTCCTGTTGATATTATACATAAAATTTCTAGACTCCCCTCTGAAATTTATCCTTCTTCTTTTCCACTAGATCTCTTTCTTTCACACCAACTCAATGACATTGCCATCCTTATCTCTAACATCATCAATATTGTGCTTGCTACTGTATCATTTCTATCAGGATACACTCATCTCTTATTTATTACCTATCTCTATGTATCTACATACACATTATCATTATAAATATATATACATCCTTTTTATATGTACATACTCTTGACTCCAATTCTCCTACCTGCCATTACCCCATTTCTTTGCTCTCTTTTGACAGAAATCTCTTTTACAGTTATATGTGATATATATTTCCATGTCAAATATAAGGCATCATTTGAACCAGTGTTCCTGGCCTAAGACTTCACACCCCTAGGCCTTCTACCTACATGTATCTTGTGTCAAAAGGGAACTCCAGATGATCATCCTTCACAGTCCTTCATTCTCTCTGCCTGTTATATTCCTTACTCATTCTGCTCCAGCTGTAGCTTCCCTGTTGTTCCTCAAACAAGACACACTCCCTGTTGTCTTAGAGTCTTTACAATATCTATTTCATCTGTCAGAACACTTCTTTCCCCAGATATCTAGTTGACTTCTCTCTCATCTCCTTGTAGTAGTTGCATCTATTCACTGTTTGTAATTTTTCTCCTCCCATTCTCTCTTGAACACATTCCAATTAGGAATTCACTTCTTCTATTGTGGCCTAACATATGATCTATCTTGGAAAATGTTCCATGTTCACTTGAGAAGAATGTGTATTCTGCTGCTGTTGGAAGGAATGTTCTGTACGTGTCTGTCAGGTTCATTTGATCTAAAGTGTTGATCAAGTCCAATGTTTTCTTATTGAAATTCTGTCTGGATGCTCTATCCATTGTTGAAAGTGGGATATTAAAGTCCCCTAGTATTATTGTATTACTGTCTATTCTCCCTTCAGCTCTGTTAATATTTGCTAGAAAGCTAGAGTGGCTATATTAACATTAGACAAAAAAAAAATCAGATAAAAAAATCAGATAAAGCAAAACATGTTACTAGAGATAAAGAAAATTATTTTGGAATGAAAAAAAGGTCAATCCATCAGGAATTTATAACCATTATAAGCATATATGCATCAAATAACAGAGCACCCAAATACCTAAGGAAAAAACTGATAGAAATGAAGAGAGAAATAAAAAACTCAACAGTAATATTTTAACACATCAATACCCCACTTGCAGTAATGCATAGAACAACTAGGTAGAAGATCAA